ATTTGAATATAATCGTCTCCTTCAAAGAATACGGTTCAAAACCTGCATTAAATAAAGGTTAATAGTTAACCTGTTATTTATCTAAGATGTCGTTCCGAAGAGTTTTGTGACTGCCAATGGAATACAAAGTCAATAATTCGTTTTTCTGATTTACCAATCATTGTCCAAAAGTCAGATTGCCAGCTTTGATAATAGTCGACTCATATATGCTTCATATTGTAGTTCATTAGATATTACCATATTATACCATACTAGACAATATGTCAGTGGCCATTTGCTAAATATTTGTTGTACAACCAATTAAGTTTTTCAAATTGACTATTCGGTTAGAGGTTGATGAAGATCTGATAAGCTGCCGTTTGAGATAAAAGATTTGCTGGTTTTAAAAACTTTATTCTGCTGAACCATTTTTAATTTTCAGTTAACAATTATGGCCCAAAGATCACAGATGTTTTTATTAGATCTGGATCCAAAGGTATACACATGCTATTTCAACTATATTCCATATTAAAAAGTGTTAGAAATGTAACAACAATATTCATAAACAAATGCCATAAAAATTATCTAAATTGTACATAGTACTTTCATTAATCTAGCTCAAACAAATGTTTATTTATCTAAGAGTCTCTTGTCTTTTATCTTGTTTGAGCGTACATTTGATTTCATGAAAATTTTCCATGATACCATTTTAATGTTACATGTCAAGGAATAAAACATATTTGTTTGCAATTGAAATTGAATTGAATTGGCATTGATTGACTTATTGTGATGCCTCATCTGCAATGTCTTTACTAACATAGCCCATTTTGTACATTTTAGGTTTGTATTTTATATATCTTTATATATAAAAATGAATTTCTGTTCGTTAGTCTCGCTAAAACTCGAGAACCGCTGGACCGATTTGGCTAATTTTGGTTTTGAATTATTTGTGGAAGTCCAGAGACGGTTTAAAAGGTAGATAAATATGAAAATGCTCAGAATTAAATAAAAATAACAATTTTGTTTTTCCTTTGATGTGTCCCCCGTCCGACGGATTCCTTTTGTTTGTTTTAAATTTATTTTATACAAAAGTTTAGGTCTTTTATTTATTGATTGAGGCACTACGAAGTCTGCCGGGTCAGCTAGTTTATGCATAAACATATCTTGAGCGATACTTTTTGTTGCAAAATCATCGTATACACGAGCGGTAGTCCGTAGCATCCTTTGGGAATCTGACGTAATCAATGATTGATATGTCAAATTCTTCAAATTGTAAATCTTAATATACACAAATGTTATGGCATTTGGCGGGAATTTCGTGAATTCAGATCTCTTTGCCACAATTATGCCGGCTTCCATACTTCAACTTAAAAGTTCATAAGTGGTGGTTGAGTTTTTTTTAAAAAAAGCATACAGTCGAATTGAGAACTACCACCTTTTTTGAAGTCGGTTAAAAAGCCTCAGCTTTTAAGGAGCTTGAATTGGAGCAATAATCGAAATGGATGTCTAATAAGCTAAGAGAAATGTCGATTATTTATATGTCACAATATATGTAGGTATAAAGTAGGTATATATGTATTTGTATGCGTCGCAGAAGGTCGCGTAAGATCAATTGATACAAATGTGTAACGATCGTATGTCTGNCCTTTTTTGAAGTCGGTTAAAAAGCCTCAGCTTTTAAGGAGCTTGAATTGGAGCAATAATCGAAATGGATGTCTAATAAGCTAAGAGAAATGTCGATTATTTATATGTCACAATATATGTAGGTATAAAGTAGGTATATATGTATTTGTATGCGTCGCAGAAGGTCGCGTAAGATCAATTGATACAAATGTGTAACGATCGTATGTCTGATGTGATCGGCGCGTGCCTGTACTATTTATAGTAT